TTAAGTGGGAGAACTTGCACAATTGGTGGCTGACTAAATACTTCTTTGCCCCACTGTAGTTCTTCAGGTAGAACTCATACTATGGAAATAGCTGACAGGATTCCTCTTGGTGAGCAAAGGCTGAAAGGAACCTTCTCCACCATTGCTGTCTGGAGGTCACCCAGGCAGTTCCAGCTTGTGCCAGAAGTCTTCCAGGTTGGGTAGCTTTGGTACATGTGGTGGGCTATCTGACTAGAGGAGCCTTCTCCCACAGTACTGTCTAGCATGAAGTCATCTGAATTGCTTTGTCAAGACAAATCAGGTGACCTCTTAGCTTTGATGAAGTGAATCACATTGCTTCCATGGCCTGAAACACTTCACTGAAGATAATTTGTCCCATTTTATACAGGCTTAATTTTTACCAGTTAACTATCAGGCTAGATGAGCATGACATACTCTATTCCAATAGGTAATAAAATTTAAAATAATGTAATACGCAAATATAACAACTCCACATAATTATGATCACATTAAATTAAAAAGCTGACCAATATGCACTGTGGCCATCATAGCAATTCTGACTTAATCTTAAAAGCAGCATGACAGATAATAGCACAGCAAGCTGTAATTTAAATTTGTTGCTTATTGGTTAGCAATAAAGAATTTAGAAGGACTTCAAGTTCTTGAAGTCAAATGCAATGTTTTTTCTCAATGAATAAAATCATTGTTACAGATAAGATCAGTGACCTTAAAGAACTCAGTTTTCAGTAAAAATCAGCCCTCTTCTATTCATAAAAAATACTAGGAACGAAAAGTTCTTTGTTGGAAAAAGGAGACAAGTACATTATTTATTCTTTCAAAATCCTACATGGCCTGTCATGACTTTAGCACAGTAGAAAACTGTTTTGACCTTTGTATCTTATTTTTAATTACTCTTATGGCCTACAATGAAGTAGTGATCACATGCAGACCCCTCAAAAAATTGGCTTGTTTGGGGGGAAATTATAAAGAAGTTCAAAGGTAAAAATGTACGAATTTGACCTTTATTTTAGAAAATTGTATACCATTTGAAATGGAATATTTTGCTATCCAATTCCAATAGTATAATCTGAGAGCAGCATAAGTTCTAGGGGGTTCCCACTTCTGGCTTAGTATATACTATGAATCCATTATGGTTTAGCACTGTGGCTTATTCCAGAAACAGTTATTTAAAAACTGCTTAAAAACTCAACTGCTATGTCAAACATCAAAAAATTTACTTTATTAAACTACCTTGTATTTTTTGCAATGTACAGAGAATTATTGAAGAATGTGAAAATAGCAAATTAATTCTAAACATACCTGTCTTTCATTAGCTGATAGAGATTTTCCTTCATATATTCAAACACAAAATAAAGATGGTCGTTTTCTCGAATAACTTCTTTCAGCTTTATTACATTGGCATGATTAAGTTTTTTCAGAGACTACAATACAAGAAAACAAATAGTTTTGATGGAGTGATCAGTTCAAACTTGAATAGAAATATTTACCAATTATAATTGTAAAGGCATATAGATTTCATTTCCATTATGATTTAGGATGCAAAGTAAACTAATGTGTAGATCTTTAAAACTGACAAAGTATCATATGGCTATCAAAAAAAAAATCTGTACATTACTTAAATTTGTCTGGGTGCCTTTTCATCCTTGTTTGTCTAGTCTATATAATCCAGATGAACTTATTGCCCACCAACAGCCACACTACAGAGGGCTGGGAAGGGAAGAGAACAGGTTCCATTTTAGCATAAACAAATCTAGTTGCATAAACTATTCTCCATTTGTATAAAGCAAAGCAAACCAAACAGAACAGAACAAAACACAACCACAAATGATTAACCTCTAGTCAGCAAATGACTTTCTTCAAGGGTACTTTAAGAAGCCTTCAACCTATAAATGACCTTTAGCAACACCAATTAGCCAAGATCGTCACAATTCATTTTTCTTTCTAGATATTGATTATAGAGAAGAATGATCCTTAGAATAGCAAATCTGGGGTATTTACACTGAACAGAATCTATCAGGTCTAAATATATTATTAAAATGATCATACTACCACAATTACCTTAACTTCCCTCAGATTCATACATTCATCCCAGGAATAGAACTTCCGTTTCATTCTGAAATAAAAATTAAAAGAAAACTTAAATAATATAAGAGAATCATACCCACAAAAAAAAAAAAAACTTTGAAAAATTTGTTAAAATATACTGAGCTTTAAAATATTATTACTCAGGCTCTAACTTTTGGAAAGGGAAATCGAATAGGAGAAACACCCTTTTGTTCTGAAAGGTTGCATCTTTTAAAAATCCAGATTTTTAAAGAAGAAAAAGATTCACTAGGGAACATTTTGAGAGTTACTGTACATCTGTTGTATCCAAAACACTCCTAATTCCCCAACATGTTCTCAAATTTGTATAGCATTTAAACAAATCCAACAGCTAGTGTAGATTTATTACCTTCTATCAGCTTCATGAGGGAGCTGAATTCTTTCAAATGGCCACAGAAAAAGAAACAGGATAACAAACACTACTTCTCCCTTATTTCCATCCTTGCTAGTCAAAGCCTGGCAGAATAACCTGAAATCTCCAGTGTCAGAATGCATTGAAAGTAAAGTGTCATTTGAGTCAAGTTCAACTCTTGAGTCAAGTTCAACTCTTGCTGACTTCATGAAGAGATACTGATGGCTCTTTATTACTTCAAATTGGCAACCACAGGTAAAGCAAAGCAAAATAAAACTTCCAAGTCCAGCAGGCTTCTCCTCAGTGTTTTTTACTGATTTCTCATATCAGTTATCCTTGGTTTAAAAGTAATCTCTCCTTCACGCTGACATTACTGGCAATTTCATGGATATATCCATGTAGTTTTCTTGGCAAATATACAGAAAATATTTGTTATTGTCATCTTCTGTGATATTTCTTTTACTTCACAGTCCACCTACAGTCCTGGGACTTCTTCATGGTCTCCCAGTCAAGTATTAACTAGCTCCAAATCTAGCTTACCTTTTTGAGATCAATCAACATTGGGTGGGTCTTGCTTCCTAACTAGGCAGACAACAGGTAGGATTTATTCTAATATAATTTCAATCTGCTCTAGTTAATAACAGAAATTATTAAGTCTAAAGTTTCATATTGCCAAAATATAATATATAACACAAACCACTGCAAATAATTTTTAGCTAGTAATATCTGAATACAGACCATAAAAGCATTTTGATTCACAAGTAATGAAGACAGAGTTCAAGCTGGTACAGGCAACTGCTCTGCCATAAAGTAACATGACTAGCCTACTTAAGCAGCATATATAAGAACATTTAAGACAGTGAAGAAAGATATATGTTACTGAAGGCAGCAAAGTGGAAAAAAATATGACAGCATAACCATATAGTTTGATCTCTCAGAGATCTTAGAAGTTGGCATGTGTAAGACTGTGCTGTTAAGTATAAAATGAACATGAGGATATAATGGCACATACCTTTTGATGGCCACAAGTTCCCCTGATTCATTGCTCTTCCCCATCAGAACACTGCCATAAGTTCCATCCCCAAGTTGCTTCAGAGTTGTATAACGATTCATTTTGTAAAAGTTAGCCAAATGCTCAAAAATCCTGAGAGTTTCTTTTTTCAGAATGGTGCTGTTATATGAGTAAGTAACCTGTCATAGTAGTTGCTTAAGTCATCAGTCTTCTTTCAGTATTACAACCACTCTATCCAGAAATAATATAGTAGCAAATGGGAAAAAGCTGCCATCCTTACATGGATCCTTGATAACAACAAAACATATTTTATAGGAAATATTAAATACAACAAGGGAATGCATTTGTATAATACAAAAATATTAAACATTCTTTATTGAAAATTATACATTCAATGCAGATCAGAACTAAGATAATAGAACACAGGGTAATTTTCTTGCAGATGTGAATATTCCTTCTTACCTCTAAAGCTGCACAGAACTCAGTCTATATACTGAATCTATTAATATACCAAAAGTTATAGATATTTTGTGTAACAGATTAAAATAATATATCTATGCATGACTTGGATAACAGGCTTGATGACATATGCTTTTTATTTTATTTTATTTTTTTTAAATGAGGGACAAATGCAATGAAGAAGTTTAGTCATATTTCTTTGACTTATTTTATTTATACATGTTTTCTGCGTAAGGCCTTTTTTACCATGTCACACCTTATGCATATTACTATTATCTTGCAAATTCAGATTTCCAGGCTGGTTGTATTTAAAAGTATGGGGGCAGAGACTTGTACTTCCTTTATTTGTGTTCTTGAATTTAATAAAGAAAACAAAACCAAAAAAACTCATCGATGGGTTGAAATATGAACACATTTTTCTGGAATACTCTCATATGTTTTATATATTACAGTGATAAAATGTAATACTAAAATTGCCATTAACCAACACTTGAAATCCACAAAGGAAACTTATATGAAATAAGAATTAATTGGGTATGTAGGGTGCTAGAGAATGTGAAACTACAAACAATGGAATATATACAGGGTTTTCTTTAAAAGAGGTTAGAACTGGAAATTTAACGCAGGTAACGCTATTGTTTCTGTTTAATAACATAACAGAGGAAGTGTAGAAGAGGGTATACAGCCTGAAAAAGAGGGCAAAACAAAACTATCCATTTATTATTTAAATTTATACCTGATTCTCAATACTTTCATATTTCTCTGCAAGTATTTCTTATTATTCCACCAGGCAACTATTTTGGGTCCACAGAGTATTCTATACAGGCCTATAGAGTATTCTATACAACCTCATCTGAATCATATCCAGAACTGGAATATTCCCAAGACAACATCTTGTTGGAGAAGGAGGAAAAGATGCTACTGTAAACAACAGATTGTTTCTTATTGTTGAGGACATGCTGCTAATAATCTACTCAAGCAGCATTAAGAAAGGATTACAGGAAAGGACAGACAGAGGACATATTAAAATAATTCAGCAATTCCTACCAGTATGAGAAAAGTTCAAGAATAAAAAGTCATGAATTAAAGCAATGAGTTTTAATGAGCTAGCTGATATTAGTAATTATTTTCATTGTAAATAACTGCAACATCACTGTTGTTTTAAGATGCAATTGTGTACTTATAAAAGAACTTAACAATTGAAACTCCATCTGCAAGAACTGTTTTTAAGAAGATAAAATACTTCCCAATGACACAAACCATTAAAAATCCTTTTAAATTGACATGACTGTGTACAAAATAATGCCATATCAACTGAACCCCAGAGCTGTGCAATGCTTCAGACCTGAAGGCCAGAAAATATTTTGGAGCACATGGAGACATTCATGTAGCATCTGCTTGTAGCTCCTTAAAGCAGCTATGCTTTTTCCCAGGATTGTACAACTATCCTTCATCACTGCAGCACAATCCCAAGAAAATATCATTTAAGCAACAGATGCTATGGATCCATCTCCATAGATTCCAAAACAGTTTTCTGCTTTCAAATGTGAAGCACTGTCAGCCCTGTTAGATAGTTAGTTGGTGCTTATTTTATGATCATGGATATTGCGAGCATAAAAATATATATTTGCAAATGCATTGCCCTAAGATCAGCTTTCCACAATCAGGTCCTTCTACAATATGTTGAATTAAAAACAGAAAAAAAGGTGCTCAGAAAGTCCTTTGGTGGCATTGTAGATTTCCTGCTGAAGGAATCATTCCAATGGAACATAATTAGAACAAAGATTTTTTTGGGGGGGAAGGGTGCTTTTGAGTCAACTGCCTAGACAAGACCATGCAGTTTTCTTGGCAGGTTTTTGGAAGTGGTTTGTCACTGCCTTCTTCCTATTCCTAGAGCTGAGAGTGTGACCGGCCCAAGGTCACCAGCTGGCTCTGTGCCTAAGCCAGGACCAGAACTCACAATTTCCCGGTTTCTAGCCTGGTGCCTCAACCACTACAACAAACTGGCTCTCAGAACAGTGATGTAATTAAAATATTTTGTTTAAAGTAATGATTAATAAATGCATTTTTAAAATTAGAGCATGACAACTAGAACCTAACAGTCTAATCTTGTGACAATAGATTGTGAAGATATAATAAACATGTTAAAAAAAATCCTTAAAGAATATTGACAAAATTAACAAAACAGAGAAAGTATACAAATTGTTCATAAATACCTGCAGTTCCTCAAACTCTAGACAGCTTCTCTAAGCAAACAAAGAGGCATTTGTCTTTATGCTATAACTTCTACTACCAAAAAATGTGAAGCCAGGGGTTGGGTGCTCTCTATGAGAATGTCAATAATGCATTATGGGATTATTTTTATAGGGTGGAAAGAGAAGTTTTTATTACAAATGTCATGAACTTGGCAGTAGAATCCTCCCAAGGGTATTCTGCAAGACAGGAAGATCTAGGTCAGATTCACAATGGAGCTTGTTGGTTTCTAAAGACTCAAGCGGCTGTCAGGGACTCTTGATAAGTTCTTTTTTTGTGCCTTCAAGTCAGTTTTGACTCCTAGTGACTACATGGACAAGTCCATGCAGTTTTCTTGGCAACATTATCAGAAACAGTTTGCCACTGAAATGGTTTGTCACATCACTCCTAGGGCTGAGAGAGAGTAGCTGGCCCAAAGTCATCCAGCTAGCTTCCATGCATAAGGCAGGGCTAGAACTTAGGTTTCCCCACTCTTGGTGCAGCACCTTAACCACTAAATCAAACTATTAACAGAAGTACCAAAGAGTGATTAAAGACATTTAATTCTACTTTGTCCTAATGAAAAGTTTACATGCAACACTCCATAGCAACTGATCAGTTCTTGTGGGAGAAGGTCAAAGAAAATAATATCACAACACATTATTGTCAAACATGGGGAGAGATAAATTAAATCAGCAGTTTATTCTTATAATCTTAACACAAGGTAAAGTCAACTATAGATACTTCTTCATGTTTATCGATCACCTCAAAGAATGTTTAAAAGGTACTGGTGTCAACCTCACCACACAGAATGGAGAGTGTGTGAGAGAGATAATTACTAACATATTGGCTTGCCTCACTATGGCCCCATTTGTGTTTAATTTCCATAAATTTGTAAATATGGTGGCTATGAAGAGCAGTATGGTTTAAGATGCAGATGTACTTTTGAACTACATACCCAAAATTTTGAATGTATCACTATGTGAAGAAATATGAGTTTACTGAGCACAGGTTCCAATAAAACAGATTTTTATTAGATGCTCGCTTTCTGCTGGTGCAATAAAAAGGTTGATAAATATTAATCCATGTCAATACTTAATGGCATGTTTTAAAAAACTGGGCTAAATGACTTTATATGTAATAAAATATGTTTCCATATTTCTGTTCACTTTTAGGTTTGTTTTTTAATATTAAAATAATATAAATAAAAAATAGCAGTGTTAACAAGTACAGTTACCATAGTCTATGGAGATCATGCTTATATGGTGCTTTAAAATATTTAGAATTTAATATTTTAATTAATTTAATATTTAAATCTCATACTGGACTGCTAATGCTTAATCCTATAGATAACTGGAACAGCAGCTCACTGGATTGTGCTGCAACTCTTAATTATTCTAGATTAATATATGATGGACTTTATTCATAGAAACTTTGTTTTGTATAAGCTATACCCTGTGGATGCTCAATTTTATTTTTTTATTATGCTTTTCATTTTTATGTTTTCTTATTTAAATAGTAAAACAAAGTGATCGCCTATTTATGTTCTAGTAGGAGTTTTATCTACATTTTCATAAACAGAAATCAAAGGCAATCTTCATATATATTATGCAACTGAAAGCCCAGCTATTCTCACATGGCAAAAACTTTTGTCACTGACTTCGGGAGTATTCATAACAATAGCTACACAAAGTTCAGTATTATTATATTTTGTTTTTAATCTGGAAATAACTTCTAATCTGATGGACTGATGGAAGGTAGCTATCAATGTAAATTCATAAAATGTAAGCATTTTGAAAAAAAAATAAGAGACCAGAAAATCTGTTTCTTCGTATACAAGTATACAGTAAAACACTGTGAAAAGAAAGAGCTAGATGCTACCCCCTCAAAACTCTGCTATTGACAATTGTAAATAGAAGGTGCTTTGACTTTGGAAAAAAGGAATGCATCCTGAAACGAGCAAAGCTTCCTTCAGTCTTCTTCCTTGTTTACTTTTACATGATAAATTGCTGCTGTTGCTAAACACTGACAAGGTGTTACCAAGGTAGTAAAACAGATATTGTACATGACTAAATACCATGAATTAAACCTTCTTTTCTTGGTGTCTGTACATCTATCATCACTTGCCATTATTTTTATTGCACAGTATTTTCTTCACTTAAAAATATTTTACTAATTTCAATGGAAGTTACTTCGAACTAACATTTCAATCCTCTGCAGAATTGGGTATACCTACTGAATGCTACGTAGAGTTGTAGCTATGTAGAATTGTGGCAGCTTTATTCTGCTTGTACAAAGTCAAAATACTGAATTCAATCCTTTTCCAGTGATAAAAATACACTTCCTGTAAGCCCAAAAGCTTTGTGCTATTGGTAAAGTTCATTAACTGAATCACTAGATTATGTCATTAAACTTCTCTCCATCAAATTGGATGAAGAAATATTTAAGTTCACAGTAATAAATCTGAATACTGTAATCTCAGAATAAGTAGAATTTTTAACTATATTAATCTTTTGTTAAATATAAAACATTAGCGCCATCTAACAGACTGTGCCTCATTCTGATCAAACAATATCAATGTATGAAGGAAAGAAAAATCTCTCCTACTGTAGAATCATTGTTTTATCTATACACACTAATACTAAGATCTAAATTCTCCAACTCAAGCCTCATAGTGATTACAAATAACTATTTTTGTGATGATCTTAACAGCTCAAATGTGTTAATTAGACCACATAGTTCATCTGTAAACAAAATGTTTATTTATAAAAAGCAAAAACTAGATTATTTCATACACCTATACCACACTTATGCATGCACACATTTTACACTCAAAAAATGAGAAATCTACTTAATGCAAGTGACTCTAAAGGACTGGAGACATCTCTTAAAACAGAACAAGCCAGATTTGTTGTCAGCAGAAGTATTAGCTTATCAACTCGACCCAAGGGCACCCAAGATCCAATTGTCATTCCAAGTTGTGACATTCATTGGGCAGCTTTGTCATTATCACAAGTATTTCCCTACTTCAAGAGGTTGTTGGGGGGATAAAATATGTAAAGTACACTGCTTTGAGCTTTTTGAAGTATAATCAGTAATGAATAAATAAAACCAGAATGTTATCCATATCCATATATTTAAATGTTTCCCACTGGAATAAAGTTTTATTTATTTATTTATTTATATTTTATATATCAAATTTGTCACCGCCCATCTTGTTAAAAAGCGACTCTGGGTGGTTTACAGAGAAGATAAAATCAATTAAAATACAATGTAAAAACAGTCTGAAATAAATAATAAATACATTCCAAGAAATGGTGGAATTGGCGAGTAGCTCAGGGAGCGTCACCAGGGTGCCAGCCACCTTCAAGATCAATTAGAGCTCTTATCGCCCCACACAAGTTGGCAGAGCCAGGTCTTTAGTCCTTTCCGGAAAAAAGGTTTTAGGTCTTTAGAAGGTTTAACTTTAGCTGAACCACAACCCAAAAAATCCCATACCCATTCTATGCTGGTTGACCGCACAGGCTTATTCTCAACTTAATAATGGGTTGAATGGCAAACTTGAAAATAAATGTCATTTACTCCCGCAGGCTGAATCTTACTTTTGAGCAGAGGTGGACAAAATCAAATTGTAATGCAACAATACTTACACCTGAGAAAAAAGTCTGGGAATAAATCGACCTAGAAGAGGGTTAAATGAGCTTGTTCTTCTAGAGCGAGAGACAACTTTACACAAGTTTTGGAACTTCAATTCCCATCAGCCCCAGCCCGTCCAGCCAATTGTGGGAGCTGTAGTCTGAGGGGAACCGCGTGTCCTTTCCTGCTCTAGACAAACTCGAGAATCCGAGCCCCGCAGGAAAACCTACCCCCGTTTTTGCGCGGTGCCACCGCCCAGCCTCTCTCCTCCCACAATCACCCCACCTTCTCTTCGCCTAGTCACTATCGCTCCGTCCTCCCTCGCCGCACACTCACTGCTGAACTCTTGGCCGCCCAGGGAGGGTCCAGGGCCTCCTCCTTCAGATCCTCCTTTCCTTAGCTGCCTCATCCCAACCTCCGAACCGCCGGCAGCTCCCTCGACGCTACCGAGGCCGGGCTCTGCCCCGACTCGTCTCCTTGGCAACAGCCTTCTTAGCGAATCCCCAGGCTAACTAGCCGACGCGAGCAAGCTACGAACGGAGTGGGCGGGTCTAAGAGAAGAAGAAGGCACACAGGCGGGGAGAAAAGGCGTATGGTAATAGAGGAGGACGCTCGCGCTCGCAATTTCTTCGAGCTTCCGATTGGCTGGTTCGGAGACGATTCCTGAACGGCCAATGACGCGCTGCGTGGCACGTGATTTATTGCTCACTTCATGCAGAGCGGTGTTTCTTAACCTCAGCAACTTTAAGATGTGTGGGGAATGGTGGCTGGGGAATTCTGGGAGCTGAAGTCCACACATCTTAAAGTTGCCAAGGTTAAGATCACAAGCCACATTAAAGACAGTGGTTGGGTTTTCCCAACACACTGACCTAGGAACTATCTACAGCAGTGTTTCTCAACTTTGACAACTTTAAGATGTGTGGACTTCAGCTCCCAGAATTCCCCAGCCAGCATGCTGGCTGGGGAATTCTGGGAGCTGAAGCCCACACATCTTAAAGTTGTCAAAGTTGAGAAACACTGCTGTAGATAGTTCCTAGGTCAGTGTGTTGGGAAAACCCAACCACTGTCTTTAATGTGGCTTGTGATCTTAACCTTGGCAACTTTTAGATGTGGGGACTTCAGCTCCCAGAATTCCCCAGCCAGCATGCTGGCTGGGGAATTCTGGGAGTTCAAGTCCACACATTCTGGGAGTTGAAATCCACACATCTTAAAGTTGCCAAAGTTGAGAAACACTGCTGTACAGTAATCACTTGTAATTTGTCTTGTGCAAAACTACAAAAAAGTGTTAATTAAATGCACCATCAGCCATGGTTATTCATGGATAAGCCAGTCATACAAGCACAGCTAATGTGGGTTATAATTTAATAGTAAGGAATGGCTGGCTGCCGTGGTCTGGGCTCAGAAGCTAAGCCAGGTTGGGCCCTGTACTTGAATAAAAGACTACCAGGGAGTCCCTGGGAAGTCAGAAGTGCTCTGGAAGAAGGCAGTGGCAAACCACTTCTGTACTACTGTAAAAACAAAGCAAAACAAGGCAAACCTGCGCTGACATGTTTATGAAGTCACCAGCAGCTCAGCTTGACTCAAGTCTTTACTTTTTAAAAATGCATATAGAATGGCAATGTCAGTCATGTCCCATGGAGCCCAGTGTCCAGTTGGATTTTGGGAGAGCGTGGCCTAGCACAATCTGCTGCCAGCCTAAAGCACCACGGTTATGAGAACATGCTGAAAGGCTCCAAAGATACGCTTTTTCCTCTGACATAGCAGGTATATTTGCACTGCAAAAAAGAGGAAAACCTGTTGCATTTGAGGTGAAACTTTGGGAGATTGGGATCCTATATTTGAGAGAATACAGAACATTTCTGTATATATGGAAGAACATAGAAGCTGGATTAGAATAGCATACTGAACTAAACTAAAAGGACATGAGTAATTTATGGTTCTTTGTGTTGTGGGAGCCTAGTCATTCTTTTAGCTCGTTGTGTGAACTAGTCCATCAAATAAACTGTAATCCTATATGGTTTATTAGCTTAGGCACAGCATCCTGTGTAGATACAGGATTTATGTTTTCCTAATCTGTCAGGACATAGCATGGTGTGAAAAACTAGCCAAGGGTCTTCATTTATTTATTTTTGTATTTATTAAATTGGGGGCCCTGCATTAAAATATACTTAGTCCATTAGGCTAAAAACCCTAAAATGTTCTTGACCGAGCCGTTGTAAAGTGTCTGCAGTTGCTTATCTTCCTTACCATAGATTTCAACTTGTGTTGACAGATAAATTGATTCCACCGCAAGTCAACTGTGTAAAAAAACGGATAACAGACTTCATTCTCTAAAATCCAAAGGATAAACTGTTGAAAACATCAGATCTTCTCAGGTTAAAGAAGGTTCAAAAGAAACTTTATAACTAATGCCATAAGTTAAATTAAGTGTGGAGCTCTATTGTTATTGTTTATAGTACATACTTCTAGATTTAAGTCCTAGCTTAATGAAGAATTTACTTGAAGGGAAAGGAAAAAAACAGAAGAAATATTAACTATTTTGCATTCAGATGGTAAAGAAGAAATACATTGTCAGTTAAAACATACCAGTTAAGCTCTTGTAAGTGCAACATGTTGGCAAAATAGGTATGTGCAAAACTCTCTTCAGAAAATTCCAGAACGTTCAATTCCCCATCCAGACCACCTGAACCTCATCTGGACTGGACCTTTTGTGGCACTTCTGAAGTTTCAGGAAAAATATATTCTGAACTGGAAGTGGTTCAAAGTGTTCTAGACCCCAAACAGAACTGTTTCATCTGGCATGCTATGTCTAGGACCCCTTGAATTACTTCCAGTTGAAAGGATTTACTTTTTCAAAGAATTTACTTTTGGAAACCACAGGACTTCCCCCTCAATGGCATGGTCCAGAGTAGGGAATACGAGTCTAGAGTTCTCCAGATTGTTCCCAAATTGGTGGATTTTGCATATGGCAATGCCATTAGGGTTTCCATGAGAAATTTGATTGAAGCAATTATTCAGCAGTGAATAATTACACACTACTTACATGCCGTTTGAATGAGAACAGCATGTTCCTTCCTGTACAGTAGCTAACAAGACAATAGTTCTTGGGAAGCATGTGTTTTGAAAGGTTTACCTTATCCATCAGCCACTGATATTAGATGGGCTTAGAGCCTTTTCCCACTTGCCCTGAACCATGGCACAAACATACATCTGCATAATGTTGTTTTTATCTTGCCCCCAGCCCATGAGTATGAACATCCAAAGTGACCAGTAGCAATATTGGTGTTAAAGTAGAGTTTTCTCCCTTAAACCAACAGCATATAACAACAGCTGCAAGGTGTGTAAAATCTCTTCTGATTATCAACCCGTTACATTGGGGGTGAAATCAATGAGTAGGAGTGGGTAGGATCAGAGATGGGTTTATTGGCTATTTCAGTCTGAATGTGGACACATATTCCTCCCCTTTAATCTCCAGTTAGCTTTGTTTCCCTGCAGAGCTGAACACCACAGGTGTTCTGCTGGTGATCATGTTGATTTGTAGATTTTTATTTTTTTTTTAGCATAGGGAGTCCTTTTGCTATTTTCTGACAGCCTACTCTAAATCCCTGCCACAAGCACAAGTCTATCCATATAGCACAAAATTATATGTGGATGTCACCATTATATGTGGATGTCACCATTTTTCTGCCACTTCATGAAATGGCAGAAGCAGCAGGTAAATTTAAATGGTAGTTCATACACTACTCTGCTCAGGTGGCAGTATTGTAAATGTGCAAGGTAGTGGTTGAAAGACCAACACATACCCACCTGCACAGATACACACATATACACTGTTCTCCCGAACAAAGCAAAAGGTCTGAAAGTCAGCATTTGTTGCCAGTCTAAAGAAAGGACGGAAGAAAAGAGAATACCGTAAATAAAAGAGCTTTGTGATTCAGATCCTTTTATGACTCCATTTTTGTTGTTTTGTTTTATTCATCTTGGATTATGACAGAACGAGGTATAGCAAGAGAAGCAAAGGAAGAAGGCTATAGATGATGGATAGAGTCCTGCAGTCAGATCTGCCCCTTTTCCTACAGGCTGGTAATATGCTGAAGATGGACAGTAGTAAAGCCAGAGGCATCAACTGGTTGCTTTGCTTATCGTGCTGCAGTTGCTTAATCAGGAGAGCACCAATAGTGTCTTGGATCAGATGCAACAGAGGCAGGGTAGGGATGGTGCTTTAACCAACATGCTGTGGCAATATAAAGCCTATCTTCATTAATGATACATTGCCACAACAATGGCTAGTTGGCATTATTAATCAATAGTACAGATGGTCTTTCACCTAAAATGGTTTTACACATGTTGGTTAATGTACAAATGAATTGGATGGTTTTAAGTTGTCACAAACCTGTTTCTTGTTTTTGCTGCTGACACAACTACCCCTCTGGAAACAGTTTTTCTCCCTGACTCTTGGTTGCATAAACTAACAGAACATGCCCATATTACATGTTAACCCATATTTTTGTTTTAACAAACTTGGATGGACCCCCACATGTTAGAATTAAAATTCCTATTTCTCACAACGCTCTTAAACATTCTTGAGGGATGAAAAACAAATGAAGCTGAGGAATGTCCTGATCAGTTTATCAGTTTGGAGCCCTCCAGTTCTATTAGAGCATAATTTCCACCATCTGCAGCTGGTATGGCTATGGATGGGAATTGTAGTCCAATATACTGGCTATAATTATAAATGATCTTTTTGTGGCTTTCCTAGATTTCAGAATGAGCGTGCATAAACAAACACTATGATATCCAGTGTGCTTTAGAATTGCAGCCTAAAAGGAATATGTATTTGAAGCAATCTTATACGTGGCTATTCAAGGCTATCTCTGTTAAATTCAAGTGGATTTATTGTCAGATAATTGTGTAAAGATTTGCAGTCTGTCTAGACAAAGAAGGATTACTTCAGCTTAATATTCATTATTATTATTAACTGGATTTTTAAGGATGCCCGCCTCCAAGAAGACTCTGGACAGCTTACAATATTTCAAATACGTAATTTAAAAACACAGTTAAAAAACATAAGCACCTGGACAAAACAACAACAGGGATTCCACAAACACCTTAACCCCTGGCCTGGGAAAGAAGAACAAGTGTTAAGCAGAAGTTCTTCAGAAGGTTTAGTAATAAGAATCAATCAGTATGATGCTGGTAAATGTAACCTTATGCATTCATGTTTATTTATATGTGTTGCTCTTTATAGATGATCTGTTTGTCTCCTTTCCTCCCTATCAAGTTTCTTTTCATTTTTTCCTATTTGGTACTAGTTCTTAAGTTTCATAGATAATAGCCAGCTTGACCTTAGAAGGTGCCTCTGGTTGTTTGTCCAAAAAGTGCACTGTTTCTCAAAGCAATGGGATGAACAACATATCCTGATCAGTTAGCACATCTTTTGCCTCTATAGCCATAACAATAGCAGTAGACCTTGCTCTTGCTGTGAACCAGGAAACAAAATGAAAGATAATAGACAAGAGCTAAAAGATCCATGAACAGCAATGCAATTTGGTAAAAGAGAAAAGAAAGAACAGCCCCCCCAAACCCTTGATATCATGACAACTCAATACACTTGTTCTGTGACTGATCTGATACTTTGACACATTCACATGTCAGCTGCAGGTTGATTCCAGTTCTCTTTAATATGTCGCCCTCCCTAATCTAGTGGCTTTCCAGCACCATTATACCTTATGCTGTTGAGTGGGGCTTATTCCAAAGTAAAGGTGTTAAAATTGCCATTTTAGGCCCTGTTACTACTTAAATTGTAACCTAGCACAATCATCTCCCTGATAACATCACTTTTCCTTATTGGCCTTAGAATGCTGCACCTCATCTCATCCCCAGCTCATGAGTAAAACTGTTTTGTTATTAAACAGTATATTTCCCCTTAGGTGACATCCTACTGCAGCTTCAAGCCATATAAAATCTGTAATGCTTTGTCATCCATTATCTTAGAGGTAAGGTCAGTTGACTCGGGATGATCAGTAGTGTGTAAAGGAAATCTTAGGAGCTCAGGCATTCGCACTATTGTTTATTAGCTTCCACTACATTTTCCCTCTCCTTTAGCACTTTATTTCCTGAGTTCCTTTCTTATCTATCACCATCTTCTTTCCAGTCTTCCAACAAGGTTGAGTAAAGGACAGTACATAAATATGCTAATAAAGGCACCAGGAATCAAACTCAACTTGCAACAGACTTTTTGCTTTACTTCAGTTTCATGTGTAGAAAATTGCAGCATCATATATTATATAACTGATCTTTATCTTCAGTCAATTATGTATTAATATTGTTCTCCAGACATATAAATCTTTGGCACAAAAACAGTAATGACATGTCTTCACAATAAAGTATTCACCTAATAAAACATATTCAAATGCATTGTTCAATGTCTTTCTTTTGCTTGGAAAATATAATTTGACTTACTATTCAAAAAAGTACACTTTATTAAGACTGCAAAACAGATTTTTTAAAATTTCATTTTATTTTAGGATGCTGTTTTTGAGAGTTTTCTGAGTCAATGAAGATTAACTTTCAAAGCAGGATTTTATGCTATCATAAAAATAGAAAAAAAGTATTTTTAAAACAGGTTCACAGCATCCTTATCTAATAAGAACACAATGTACTTGGAATGTTTTCTATATAAAAACTTATCAAAATTAATGGCAATTTACTGCACTTTCATTCTTCCTACATTTCAGTAAAATGTGTACAACTGATACTCTGATATCTGGAATAATTTAAAGTAAAATTATGGGATATTACAAAGCATAGTTAGCATAAATTAAAATGAGATCTGTTTTCAGTCTGCTGTATATACTATATACTAGAATTGTTTGAATTTTACTTTCCCAGTACTTTAATTTTACAATGCCTTCATTTGTTTACATGTTTACTCAGATTTCTGGGCCACTCTTATCAGAAGACTTTGAACAGCTAACAATCTGTTTACAGTAACTATTAAAAAATAAACTTACAAGAAGCATACTACTTTCACAACATCATAAATACATGTCCACATCTTAGGGATGGTTCAACATTTCATCTCATCCCAAATGTTCTCCAGTACAGCCTGGTCTTCAAGGGTCTTTCAAGGGAAAGGTAGTCCTTATATCTGGAGGAAGCTTATTCCACAGGAGGGAAACTATCACTGGGAAAACTCAAGAATGGCATTTCTGAAAGAGACATTTCCTCAACAGAGGATCCTTAATGTGCCTTGTTCTCACTGGATGGGCAGATTCTACCCAGAACATGTGGTCACAGAGAACTCAAGGACCTAAGCCATGTAGAGCTTTAAAGGTGACATCTAGCACCTTCACCCTTGAAAGCTAACTTGCAACCAATGCATCTCCTGCAGTAGAGGTGTTACATCAGCAAGCCTGGGTGTGCCCATAATTACCTATGCCTCCTCATACTGAATTAGCTGCAGCTTATGAATAGCCTTCAAGAGCAGCCCCTATATAGTCCGAATTGCAATAATCCAGATGCAAGGTGACAGAGACATTAAGTAACTGTCAACCAGATGTAATTATGTGAAATCCTGGTGGCCACAGCTTCTACCTGCTGTTTTAGCAGCAAGTGTGAATCCAAGAAGACTCCCAAATTTTGAGCCAGCTGTGTCTGAAAAAACACTACACCATCCAGAGCTAAAGACAGACTATCTCTGGAATTGGTCAGCTTCTGAACCCATAGGCACTCTGTCTTGCTAGGATTAAGCTTAAGTTTTTACTGCTCTGTGAATTTTCATATTATGACTTGTAAGTTTGATTTAGAATGAATAACTTAATCAGCCCCCCCCAAAGTCAATACATTTCCAGAAAAAAAATATTGGATGACTAATAGTAAATGCTATGCTTTATATATACTTCTAATGTTACTATGCTTTGGCTTCAGTATTCAGTATTTTCAAATGTGAATGCTGGTCCTTCATAGCCAGTATAGTTTTTTTCAGTATCAGGACTACTCTCACAAGTATCCACTGCTCCTACATGTTCTGCTTTATTAGGGCTCAGAAAATGCTCACCAGTCAAAGTTGATTTACTCATTCCCCAATCTTCTTCTTGAATGCTGATCTCTGAGCAAAAATTTCCTGAAACATCTGTTACTAGGGGACAACTAAGCATATCTTTTGTATCACAGAAACTGTCACCATATTTCACAGCAGGAGGTTTGTAGGCTTCAAGGGACATTTTTGCAGTTGCAGTAATAACAGTTTGCAAAGTTGGAACATTCAGAGAGGAATGACTACTATACCTATAAGCATATTCTTCACTATAATGGGGATAGTTAGCATTGGCTTGACATAGTCCATAGCTAATTCTTTCTCCATAATTAGCTTCTCCTAAGGACTGTTTCATCCCCTGATGCTTATGGACACCATCAAAGTTCTTTTCGTGGACACTGAGTGAAGTTGTATGACGCTGAAGTCCACTCAGCAAGAGATGATCAGTGTCCATTGGAACATCCATTACATCTTTGTGAAATGTAGGATATAAACTGGAATTGACATAACCAGGAAATGCACACTCATAACCACAAGTTGATTTAGATGTATAGATTTGGGAGGTTGGATAGTTCTGGAGTGGTGATGCTATATCCCCTTGAAAGTTGGTTGTATCATAAGTAATGTGGTATGGTTCTGAATTTGAAAGTAAATGAGACTGAGCAAGGAATGGTACACTGGCATCTGTGAAAATGCTGAATTTTTCTGGTCCTTCTTCATATGCTAGAGGATGGATGTAGTGAAAGTGATTACCATTCTCACTGCATGTTGTTCCTGTCTAAAGAGAATATTAATGGAAGCAATTAGTGGACACACCCACATGCAACATTACTAAATGGAGTTGTTGACTATTGTTTAAATTATTTTTAGAGTATTTTTATCAGGATGTTATATAGTCAGATTGCAAGTCAGACTGATGTTGTTGTTCTTGTTCCTGGAACTTCCACAGTGCATACAAAGTTTTTCTTTTTAAATCACACGAGTAAAAGTTTCCATGTGTACCTCTTTATTTCTGTTCAAAGGACTATCAGAGGGCAATCTTCAATGTCTAATGATGCCTTCTATTTAAAGGCATCATTAGACTCCAATTCATGTTAAAGATAAAGAGCCTCCCCCAAAAAGAAAGAGAAGCAAGGGAGGAGAGTTAAATTTAGTTATGAGCAATTAACATTTAGACAGCAGACTCAGCAGACATTTGGGTCACTTTGTCAGTGTCTTCTGTGACAATGAGACATATTGTATTTCTATTTGAATTACGGTAATTATCTCTCAATTTGTATTGATATGAATTCCACCCCATTCTGAGGGGCAAAATGTCACTCTATTAAGTCCAGACATTTGATGAATTATCACATCATGTATCTGTGGGGTAGAGTAGGAAGAAATCCATGTTAGTCACAACAGATACAGAAATTAACACATTCTTGTGTTACATACAAGTGAGTCCATTGAGAAATGCATGTGTGCTTATAAATTTAGCCATCACAATGACTCAACATTTGATGATTCATGGTCGGAAGTGGGAACTGGCTGCTTGAGTAGAAATCATTAATCCATATATTAAAATCATCATGTTAACACTCAAATTATAACTGCATATTTGAACCATCCTTCTGAATTTCTTAATGCATGCACACAAACTCCTCTGGGTTTGTATATTTTTCCTACAGCCACAAGCTTTGGGATGACTGGTGGCTCATTGGTACACTGCTCAATTTTACGTATATTACTTTATTTTGGTTCTGAACACATGCATATATAGAAGCAAGGATATCCATGGAAGGGGGTTAAAAAAGTTAAGATGATAGTCATGATTGCATGATCAAAGCTTCACCCATTTTTATGTGTAATGCTGCACATAAAAATGGGTAAATCTTCAATTGTGGGGTCATGGTCACCATCTTGAGTTTTTTTATTCCCCCCCCCCAATATCTCTGCATACAAAGACAATTCTATAGGTGTTCCAAAAACAGCAATCCAATTAATAAACCAGTTATGACAACCTAAGCCTTAATAACATCATCTGCTGAGCTTACCACATGCTCTGCCATAACATTTGATACTATTTCTTATATATGTTGTATTTAAGTGTGCCAACAATAATAAAGTATTAATAAATGCCTGATTTACCTGGAAAATGACATGATATAGGTGTGATATAGCTATTACGGATGCTGTTGTATAATAAGCAGTACAATAAAACATAGTCAATTGATTCCACACTACGCTCTTGACACAGGCATAAGTGCTTAGCATAAAGTCTATATTTTCAGTTCCATAGGCTATGGTAAATATTAGGATACTGCTCATTTTTTTTCAGTGGGGCAAGAAGAAATTCAAAATTTAGCCCATTCTTGATAAAATGATGTACTAATTCACGTTATGGATTTCTTGTATTTTCAGTTCTGAGACTCTGTCATATTTGGAGAGCTAAAATTCTAAATTCAGTTTAAGTCTCAATGAATATAAATGAATGTTCACATTATTTATGATATTTCACATCAACATTTCTGATGATGCAGCAGACCCAGTTACCTGAAAATCAAGAAACCGTTTTTTCTGGGATGTGTGAGAAGATGATGTTTGCTTTTTGAGAGCACTTCTTCTAATCTCAGTCTCTGATTTACTTTCTGGTCTAGGGTGGTCATGAATTCCCTTGGCCTGAAACAATATTGACACAGGAACAAAATAGAGCATTAAAAAAGCTGATGTATAATCATCCATAATTATTTACATTGACATGCAACAGCTTTCCTGGGGTTAAAGCAAGAATGTTTCCTAACTTCACCTGCAAAGACTGGAGACTTGAATCTGAACCTTGGGCATGTTCCTAGTCTTCAGTGCACATATGAAAATGTTTATTACATGGAGAACATATATAACTATGGAGGCATCCCAGGAAGTTCATGCATTAGTGAAGTCTAAAACTTTGGGTATGAGTTGGAAAAAGTCCAATATAGTTGATTTCAGGACCCAGTGATTTTTTCAGGTTCGCACAGCATGCTGCAGCACAAAGTGGTCCACTGCATTCTAGCCTAGCAGACTATAAGAACCTGGTCCATGTCTTTAGTCATCCTCTGTGTTGTGTGAACCTAGAAATGTGAGCTCTGTAAACCAATGTTAAGGGTTTCATGTGAACACATCTATTGTCTTCTTTGAATTGCCCAGGAAGCAGTGCTTTTAAGTGTAATTCGCTAACTAAAAACTCATTGTCTGTTAAAAGTTGGCACAAGTAGCACCCTCTTTTCCTGTTTTAAAACCTTGAAGCAATGACTTGAAATCAAGTCTGATACACAATATACTAAACAGCCAGTTAAGTGTCTAGGTCTGCAATCTAACAAAAGTTGTGAAGTATCACTGAGTGCAATAAATGTATTTTATTCAGATAGGGATAACTTTCATCAGAAAAGGGAACTACGTGTCTTTTTAGTTTCCATTAAGTATACGCCCATAAGATTTCTTTTTTAATTAGAAGAATTCTACAGAGAAAGCCTACTTCGCATTTGTATTTTACCTGGAAAAATATTGCCTTGCCCTCATGTCTCCAGAAGTTAGTTACCGGATAGCCACTATGTCCTCGGCAAGCAATTAGTTCAAGAGCTGAGCTGCAATTGGGACAATGCTTTTCTGCAAGATAGATAAGTACATTGGAACGATTCAGATTGAAGAAGTCTGTATACTGAGATAGTGGAGCAAAGAATTTGCAATATACTTTGATTTTGCAACTGTGAGAATTATAAATGGACCCTTTTTCACAGGTTTCTCTGTGGGAAAATAATGCGGTTTTGTGTGTACTTTTCCCAACTGCAGTAGTGTGTTCAGTTACAGAATGACATTGAAAAACTTTCCCAGGAACGTCGAAAACATTGCTTTGTAAAAGCCCTTCGAGTACCATAAGGTTCACTTCCTTCCAGAAGTTTCATATCTCCATGGATATAGGTGACATACAAATACTTGCTATAAATAACTGATAGATGATAGATAGATAGATAGATAGATAGATAGATAGATAGATAGATAGATAGATAGATAGATAGATAGATTAGAAATTCTGTTTTTAAGCAGAACCAGCTCAGTGAAGCTATACTAAATTTTTTAATTTGGGGTGGCGGGAGGTAGATTTCTCTTTCACTGAACTCTTTGCTAAAGGGGAAGGTCCCCAACAGCTACCAGATTGGCTGTTGGGTGGCTTGCCCCACCACAAGATTCTCACTTTGTTGCTTTTGGCGAGCTTTATCACAAATAGCGGGCCGAAGTTGCAGCTTTGCCCCATCAGGCAGGGTGCAGTTTCTGGCACATACCACCACACCGAGGCAGGATTTCTTGAGGATTTGGCAATTGTGGTTGTTGGTGTTGCGCATGGCCCAACCGCTAAGATGCCTTTGTGCATTTTTATCTTCAACGGCATAGATGTATCGCAAATACCCGTCAGGCCACTCCTGGAAAGAATCAAAGTGTTTGGGCTCCTGCATAGGAGACAAATAGATGAGAGGAGGGAGAAAGAGGAGGAATAGATGTAGAATATATTATATCATCAGGATTGAAAGCAACTAGTTCTCCCTTTCTTTAAAAAAAAAAAAAGGAAGTTATGGAAACTAGCTTCTGTGTGTACATATATTAATGCAGTATATTAATTTACTATGCATTCTGACTACATTCAAACAAAATGCTAAAACCTAACTCTCATAAATAAATACAACTCCTACATTTATTGATAACATGCTGTGGCCAAACAAATAAACCCTGCTCATAAATCTGGTAAGACAATGGGTAGGTTTCTGTAACATCCTGACCCAAAACCTACTCAATCCTATTTTAGCCTAGTCTGATATGTTGCGGAGACCTACTCACAATGTATTAATTACAAATATAGTGACTGGGTTCCCTGCTTTAGTGGGAGGCTGAATACACCCAAAAAGTCCCTTCTATGCCATTCCTCTTTAGAAACTCCTAATAAGCATCTCTGGGCCTTCCTCTGATATTGAGTTGAAGCACTTTTCACCCCTCCTTGAATGAGTACAAAACAATGAGGCCAGTAAACATTGTCATCCTCATAGCTAATCCTTGTTCTGCCTTTGTTGTATCTGTTCCAAAACACTATCAAATGGTGGGACCTGATTTGTGAGTGTGCCAGTCAGCATAGGCCGTGTTTGCTCCTCTGGCTTTGTGGCTGTCTCTCTTCATCAGGTTAGATGTTTTCCCAGTGAGAAAACACCCCACCTCAGCATTTCCCAGGTTAAAAAAAAAAAGTGAACTAAAGAAAATATAGAAAGAGCTCAGGGAAACAAGAGCCCTAGGCTCTTCAGCATGTCCTCATTGCCAAATCCTATCCTGCTTCTCCTGCCTCTCATTCAAATCACTGCACTCACCCGACTTCCCTTAGTGACAAAGTCTAACTGATTGGGTATACCATGAGCTGTCCTTGGTCAGTGCTGGATTAAGTGAGGGGACCCTAATCCCAGTAAAACTAAGGGTGATTTAAGCCTATCTCATTCATGGGCTGGGGATGAGATGGAAGAGCTTCGTAAGGACATAACAGTAAAAAGTAAAAAGATGCTTGCACTGTGGTTGTGCAAACAGGGAAGGGTCCTTAATGGTGACTCCCTGCTCTGTCTGGGATGGGTGCAAGCAAAGGGAACAATTAGGGTTGTTAGGGTATGATGGTGCCATAGCAACCTGCAAGCAGAGACAGGATCTCTGTGTGGGTCAGACGTGTGTCTATTTCCCAAATGAATGCTGAGACTTTTTGTACTGAGTTACACCTTTCAATGAAATCAGTTATATTTCACATTGTAGAACTATGGTTACTCCAGTAACAGGGAATTTCATGGTATATTCTTATAAATGTATTAGTCATGAGAAACATAATTTCACATCCTTTCATGAATTTTCTTTTAAAGCTGTATTTTAAAAAATCCTGGTTGCTCTGCATCTCTTTCTCTCATAACTGGACTATTCATTCACTCAAAAAGATTTCTAAGCAGCAAAACTCATAACACATCTACTATGAGTTTCCTTCCTTCCTTCCTTCCTTCCTTCCTTCCTTCCTTCCTTCCTTCCTTCCTTCCTTCCTTCCTTCCGATGCTATGCTTCCATTTTCCTTTTGCCATATTTCTAGCCTTCTTTTACTTGATCAGTTCTGTACTTTTTTGCATACCATGCCAATATTGTTAGGATGGATTTGCTCAGAATTTTTATCATAGTTGGGAAGCATACTATGTCTCAGGGTGGGGAAAGGACTTTAGAAAACAAATCTACAAAGCCATTCTAGTGATTCCATACCTTCTTTCCAAACCTCCCTCTGCCCTGTACCTGTGGTAACTTGGGATCATTGATGTCCCAGGTTAACTTCATTCCAAAGGAACAGATGTAGCTAGACTCATCAAAAGGGCCCTTTGACATTTTCACCATGAACCTAGAAGAACCAAGTTATTGAAAAAAAAAAAGAAAAAAAGACATCAGGTACTTCTCTTGTTCCATCAGCTGGAGATAAGGTCTCATTTCAGATTGTTAAAAAATCTCAGGAACATCCTTTTAGAAAATTATCTTTCCTGATCATGAGATCTTTCCTGAAGCATACTGTGATGACCGTTTAAGAACACAGGACGAGTTCTTTGCACTAACAAATAACATTTTGTACTGATCATATCAGTCAATAAAAATGGAAATGACCACATAAATTTTGCTCAAGGGTCCAAGGCACATGTGCACAACAGTAGTTCATGACCATAGTTTAATGCTGCACATCAAGTCGATGCTTCACTCATGCATCCAGTTTTCAATATAAAATTCATATAGAGAGTATCATGTATGACAATTTATGCATACTGTATATTTTACTGTATATACACAATGGAAGTTACAGCAATACACACACACACATACATACACACGCCCAATTTCATGCACTGTCAAATTAGGACTAATGTAATGTGTGAAACTGTCCCACAAACTGTGATGCTACAGTTCATGAGAATGAATGAATGTGTGTAATACATGCACAATTACATTTTGCCTAGAACAAGTCTCAGGAGTGGTCTAGTGACTGAAAAAAATTAGTGCCTAGTCTGCCTTGAGGCCACAATTACACTGTGAATTCAAATTTCCCCACATACTTTTCATCGAATGGATTATGACTGTACAATTGTTCCTCTATTTTAAGACTTACCTGTAGCAAACTTTGATCTCTTTCCCTCAGTGGTAGTTACCAGTCATCTGGAAAAGAATTACTGTCATCTGCATATTATAACTATCGGTAGAGGAATGGCAGTGAAATCTGAGAGAACAGTATTTTTCCTAAAAGTAGATAGTGAATTCATGACTGATGTGAAATTTGAACTGGGTGTTTTCTGGCTTCCATTTTTGCACTACAGCAGTTTCTCTGAAATACAGATTAGTGTGAGGACCTAGGATACAGAAGAATCAGATTCAAATCTGTACTCAGACACAACTTACAATTTCTCAGCTCAATCTATGTCAGAGCTATGAGGATAAAATGGAAGGAGCAGCAAGGAACAGAGAAGAAGACCTGTGCAGGCAAACCACCTTCAAATCTCTGAGAGGATGACAGGAAAAAAACTTAAGTAGCAACTCAACTTCTACAGGATCCACTTCTCTGTTACGTGTGGGTGTGTGAGAGAATGAAACAATAAAGTGATGCAGGAACTTCCAAGAGACCTCAGTTAGAATAGAGAAATGCTTTCTTGGGGATAACTGAACTCAGTAGGATTTCTTCTCAGTAGCACAGTACAGTACAACTTTGTGAACTTGCCTTGAAGTTCTGCAGGTGGTGTCCTCAGCCTTTCCAAAGCGCTTCGCCTCTGTCCGCCACCAGCAGTGCTGAAATCAGCCGGAGATTGCAGTTTCCTTCCTGAGTTTGGCTTCGAATCCGTTCATACCAGGAAGGGCATCTTTTTTTGTCCTCGACCTTCACCCTCCCACATACCTTTCTCTGCTGTGTTGAAAGCACGTCAGTGGCAGCTCCTCCCTGATTTATTCCACAAGTCCTCAAGCACTAAGTAGGCTGCAGATCCACAAACCAGCCAGCTAGAGTTGTGTCATCCGAGAGGGAAGCCATGATCCTGAGCCTGCTTACTCAGAAGTAAATTTCTTTTTCATAGCTGGTTCATGTATTTAGGGTGAGAAGGCCCCAAAAGAAACACAAAGCATTTTTTATTGTAATCCACAAATATTTTGATCCCTGACCCTTTCTACTTGAGCTTAATTATTGGTTGGTTCCAGACCTAGCTTACACCCTGGAAACTTGGAGACAACCCCCAACTGCTTGCAACTGAGCCCCAGCTGTGTTGGATTATCATTACCTCCAGTGAGCAAAGTCATTAGGAAACAAGGCAGGTTAAGTAAGCTAGGGATAATGGAAGCTATAGTCCCATAATTTGAGGGTGCTTGGCTGGGAAAAGAATAAGGAAACAGCATGCAGGAACTTAAACATATTCCTAATTCAATTGGTGTGTGTGTCTGTTTCTGTATCTTTATGTGGATGTGTGTATATATATACAGATATATGTAAAAGTGAGTAGCAATTATGTGTCATATTGGCTTCAATGGGACTTAACTCACAACCCCTTATAACAGCTTGGGGCCTACCTGTTTAAATCTCAATAAATATACAATGTTTGTATGTCCTCAAACACTACATCTGCATAAACACAGCATCTACTTAATGATGTTGTGGAGAAGGCCTTTAAAGTACAGTATAATTCCTCCAAAGCTTGCTTCTTCCTTCTTTCTCTCTCTCACACACACACATATACAGGGTGCATGTCAATAAATACATGGATAATTAAAAAAAAAAAGCATTCAGAAAGCTTCAGAAATACAGGTA